AGGAATGTAAAAATGAAAAATTGCCAATTGTATATGATAGGAGGGGAGTTTGTAGGGGGCGACGTGGTTGACCTTCTACCCCAACAACAGAGGTCTGAGACAGGGAGGAGGGTCCCCAGTACTCTCGTAAAGCAGAAAAACTGGCGCCAGTGTCGATCAAAAAGGCGATCATCCTACCTGCCACGGTGAAGGTTACCCTGGGCGGTGATCCGCGTTGGGCCAAACAAGCCAGGGCCTCTTCACAGGTCTTCTGCCACCAGGCCAATAAGGTCGTTTGAGGGAACGGGGTGGGGCGACGACCCAACGGTGGGTGGACACCAGGGGGCAATCAAAACCCCAATGTCCCTTTTGTTTGCATTTGGGGCAGGGCCTCGTGGGGCAGTGGCCTTGTTGATCACATCAGAAGCAGGGTCCTGGAGGGTTGGAGGGTCCCCCATTGGGGCGTCGTGGCACGGTGGGATTGCTGGCCTATTCCAACAATTGGTATTTTTGTTTGGCTCTTATCTCATCTCAGCCATTATAGGCTTTAAATGCAATTGGGAGAGTTTCTGCCTGGGGAGTAAGGGGACCCCTTTCTAGTTTTTTTAGCTTAGACTTAATGTCGGGGTAGGCTTAAGAAAAGTGCATCATAACTAGTCTCTGGCCATCGGCAGACTCCAGATCTAGGTTAGTATATTGCCGGAGGCCTTCAATCAGTCTCTGAAGGAAGGCGGATGGATTTTCGTTTTTATCCTGAATAATTTCATTTAGTTTATCATAATTGACAGCCTTCATGGCTGCTCGGCGTAGGCCATGGAGTAGACAGCTAACATACCTGTTTCTGGTGTCGGTACCTGCCTGAGTATTGTAGTCCCACTTTGGGTCTCGATCAGGGACAGCGTCCGCGCCTGCTGGGTGATGGTTGTTTGGGAGGTGTTCTTGATCTGCATGGGCACGGGCCTGCTCCAGCACTCTTTTGTTCTCCTCAGAGGTAAGTGAATTGGTTAAGACAACAAAAATATGATGATAGATTAGCTGGTATGATTGTGTCAGGAACTGAAACTGTTTGATAAAGGTTGCGGAGTCGGAAGTGAAAGATCCAAGCCTAGACTGAATGAAAGCCAGCTCAGCCATTGGAAAAGGGGTATGGACTTGAACAATTCCCTCAGCTCCGGCAACCTCTCGCAAGGGCGCCAACGTGTGAGCAGACTGAGAAACTTCAGGGTCAGATGACTTATGGGCCTTGGAGCAAGTGATGGGTGGAGTCAGGCGCAGGGAGGGGCGGAGGGAGGAGAAGGGGAGTGAGTGGGAGGCTCTTGTGGGCTTGGGGGGGATGAGTGAGGAACTAGAGCCTGGGGTGGAGGTGCTTGTGGCTCTCCCCAATAAAGAGGAGGATCATCTGTTGGTTGAGATGGCCGACAGACTCGAAGGGGAGGGGATTGTTGATTAGCTAGGGAGCAGAGGGAAGGTTGACTATGGAGAGAAGAAAAGCCTTGAATGTGGGTAATCTCTGACCATTTTCCTTGGTGCTCACAAATGTTATACAGATCTCGAATCAGACCAGATTCAAGTGAGCCGTTAGGCGGCCAAACGTTTTGGTTGTCCAATTTATATTGGGGCCAAATTTGAGTGGACAAACGTATGAGACGCTTGGGCTTTAAATCTAAGCCTTCAAGGTTCTGTAACAAACACCCCAGGGGAGAGTCTGCGGGTATAGAGGATCCAGAGCCCATGGTGACCAGAAGCAAGACAAAGGGCGGTGCCTATAACTTAAGACGTCTCTCAAGGTACAGATCATGCGCCCCAGCTTAGGACCCGGTCCTAAGTACGGAAGCCTAGGCTCCTCGTGGAGGCATCCCACCACAGGGAGGGGGCTTGAAAATGGGGGCCACACCACCTTCTGAGGTGTCTCTGCAGCGGGCGGGGGCGGAACGGGCAAGTCCCGGCCTTGTCCCGGTGAGTCCCGGACTCACAGTGGGGAGACCCAAAACCTGGTACCCGGTTTGTGCTCTGGAGTGGAGTCTTGTTTTTCTAGTCACCAGGACTTAGGACTCAGATACCCGAGCTGTTGTTAGAGGACTTACCCAGGCCGGGCGAAGGTGATGATTTGCCGGTGTTGTTTGCTGGGAAGGCGCCAGGGAAGATGGTCGC